CATCGTTTCTTCTTCGAATCATTGGAAACAGATGCATATTGTGACGTACAACAAGCACCTCTACAACTCGATGTTAGAGGCATCGGACAAAGCCAACGGACTGGCTGTTGTGGCGCTGTTTTTTGAGGAAAAAGAGGACGTCGATTTGAAGGACACACAGCTCTTCAAGATGAGCGCTTTTCTGCGTTCAGCTGAAGCTGTGCGGCAACCAAACACGTCGGTAAAACTCGCGCCGTTTCCCGGCGAAGCGCTCTTAGACATCGGCAAGGACCGGGGTCGGTTCTACCGCTACGAGGGCTCGTTGACGACGCCACCGTGCACAGAAAACGTCGTCTGGACGGTGATGAACAAGGTTTTGCCTGTGCATCCACAACAGGTAGAAATGCTTATGTTTGTGAAGTTGCTATTAAGTTTGTACTTCATGTTAAAATTTTCATGTCAACAATCAACGCCACTGCTATTTAATCAAATTATTACGATACCGCAAACTGAAAATTAACATGGTAACCGTCATAGTTGAAAAAACGAGCACTCTCTGTCAGTTTTGATTCATCAAGGAACCGAATCAATTTGTTCGACTTGTACGAATAATTTCTTAAAACCACTATAGACCAGTTGGAAGGCTGTCAGGCGGCTAATGTAAGCTGGATTGATTATGTGTTGCTAGAAATATAATGTGTGGTATTGGAGTGAGGTCAGCTGTAGTTATTTGGAGGTATTAGCAATGTTTGATTTTGCTGTGATGTAATTTGATTTCATCATGCAAAACGTTGTTCTGTCAGTTTGATTAACATTAGGGATTATGTCACTTCATGGCAACCAATCAGAAATCAGCACAACGGAATTTAGCTGCTACAGATCACATATTAACCTCATCTCACACAATTTCCCGCTACATCAGTCAGCAAATTTAAAAATTGAAAGCTAGACGTAGAAAAAGCAGTTTTGGACGTTTTGGTAAGGAAATAAGTGTCTAAAAGTTAAAATAATCTGAAAATCGACTTTCAAATTACTGGCCTTCGTTTTTACCTTCTTTTTGAAGCTGGAAGTTCTCCGTACGCTTTATTTCCCATCCGACGAAGTGGAGCAGCGAATGGTCAACAACTACCGCAAAATTCA